ACAGACAGACAGACAGACAGACAGACAGACAGACAGACAGACAGATAGACAGATAGATAGATAGATAGATAGATAGATAGATAGAGCAGATAATCCAGAATAATCCAATCAGAGCTGTGGTGATTTTGTGAAATATGTGAGGGTAGAGATCAGCTCTTAGCTCCTGTAGGTTTGTAAAAGTGATAGTTCACGTTTGAGGCTAGAAAGGAGCCTGATGAAGGCTGGATTTCTGCACATGTTCTTTGAAATTACAACTGTGGACAGTTGTTGCTAAACATTTTTTATTCTTCAGCAAGTTTTAGATCTGAGAAATTATAATTCTCCAACCAGCAACCTGTAAAGGAAGTTTACATTCAATTACCACACTCAGTTCTTACACAGCAGACAACACAAACCAGAGCCTCATTTCATTTCTGGTTTCTGTCACTAATGTCTGCCGTCTTCCTCAGATCTTAATCCACAGGTGAGCTTTTATTGGAGGAGGGGAACCAGGACAATACCTAAGGGTCACCGGAAAGGTCGACTAGAGCCAATCAGATTCCAGATCGATGACCACCCCCACAGCCAGATTAGGATACCCCAGCAGTTACCGCAGGTATAATTCACAGCAATGTCTTGGCACGAATGTTGGCAACAGTTCAACTCAGAGCTTATTATTGTGTCACATCTGTTCATTTGGGTTTGTCGCTTTTTTGTTTCTGTGTCAACATCACCTAAATATGACTTCACCAAAAACTGCAATGTTTCAACTTCTTCTTATTTTGTATTCAATTTTTTAAAGTTTGCTCCACTGGAGGCCTCTTACACAGCAGAGGTCCCGGAAGTCCCCTACGCCCCCAATCTAATGCCTTTGTTCAGAAGACAGTATGAAAACAACATCTTTACAGGTAACACTGCTGTTAAGAAAACTCCTAGTCACTATTGACCAATCTGGTTACAGGCTTCAGTGGTGGCTAAGTGTTTTAAACCTGAACAAAATCCAAATTTTCACTAAAAGATATGGGATAGAAAAATTAGATTTAAGCCACTGAAAGATATGAAAGGTTTTTTTATTATTTTTTTTTGGCTTCAGGAAAAGAAACCAATGATGGAAATATGAATGGCAATAAGGCAGCAAAGTTGATTAAAAGCAAGCTTTCTGTCAGTCTAAAAGCCGTTTTGTAAATCTTGGTGCTAACATGATGCTTTCTGTTTCCCAGGAGCGAAGCTGCCGGACCCAGTCTGCTATGGTCACACTCAGTTCCATCTGGTACCTGACCGGTACCACAGGGAGCGCCTGGCTCGGCAGCAGCAGTCGGACCAAGTGGAGGCCTTCCTCAGAGCCAATGCCGTCGCCAGTCTTTTTGCCTGGACCGGAGCTCAAGCCACATACCAAGGTCTGTTACTGAGTCAGTCCGTGCTTCCACTGCAGTGTTGGTTCCTAGAGGTTTTTTTATTACATAGAAGAAAGAAGTTCACAGATATTCTCCCCATTTAGTGTTTCTGCTGTAAAGCTTCAGCCAAGCTGCATTGTGTCTTCTTCCCTCATTTAACCTCTCTATGTCAACTGGAACTTACAGGTTCCTTTACTGAAAACATAACTTATTTCAGGATTTTCCAGGTTTGGATAAGTTTGCATCAAGTAAAAGTTAATATTGAAAGGTGTTTGTACTTCCATATTTTTTATTTCCTTCCATCCATCCAGATCTGAGCATCTGGTCTTGAAATGCCACAAACCTTTTCCTGGAAAACGTAAAGGAATCCTGCAGTTTTGTAAGAAAGCAGAGTGATGGGTTTTCCTTCTTCCACCGCCCTCTGTAGGTTTCTGGAACTACGAGGATGTCTCCAGACCCTTTGTGTCGCAGGCTGTCATCACAGACGGTCACTACTTCTCCTTCTTCTGCTACCAGCTCAACACCGTGGCCCTGTCTTCTGAAGTAGACGGCAACAACCCCAGGAAAAACATCCTGTGGGGCACTGAGAGCCTGCGGCTCTATCAGGACGTGCAGGACGGAGAGGTGGTGGGTCTGGACGATGGTGTCGTCAGGCTTCTGGTTCAGTTCCTCATGAATCAGCCTCACAGTTGAGTCCGAGACAAAGATACAAGGAGCTGCATTTTGTTCAGATGTCAGAGTTGGGGGGGAAAAAAAAAAAACCCTAGAGTCGGACATGAAATATTTCATATGATTGTGAGATTCAGTGGAGTTTGTTTTCAGCTTGTTAAACTAACATAAACACAGAGAGACAATCCACATTCAAGCTTTGGATGAACAGATACAGATTTTTTTCCCCTCCTATCCTGATAATTTAATTGTTAAGTTTGCTCCTGGTAAAGAAGCAGCTGTAGCTCATTACTGCTTGACGGGAAAACAGCTTTTTTCCCAGTTTGCCTTTTAGAGAAACTAACTACTGTAAACAAAAAGCTGTTAATAAAACATCTACTCTTCTGAACTGTGTCTGAACTACTTTGTTCTAATCATGAAATGCATGAGTCTGCTGCCTTCCCTGTACATAGCCTGACTATGCCATTTAATACAAACACCAAACCATTAGAAACATGTACTTGCGTAATTGAATTTTGGTTTGTTTACTTGGTGGTGCGAGATAATCAGGATTGCTAAAATCTCATGTATACCTTAATTGTATTTTATTTAATATCTTATAGTGCAGCCTGTTGATAGTGTTTCTGCTGTGTCATTTAACTCGGCACTATAACAGATTATGATCCACTGATTCATCATTATTATGATGAATTGAGCCATGGTTGGTAAATGCCATCCAAACACTGAAGCATGGTGGTGTCTGCATTATGCTGTAGGGATGTTTTTCATTGGCAGAAAAGCGGCTGGCCCAAAGAAGGAAGACTTTTTCAGATTGTACGTAAAGGATCTCGCATTAAAACATCCCTCATAGTTTTCTAAATATTAAATCGTATTTTTTTTCTCAAGATACACTTTGAGAAAATGTAAGATAATTACCCCCAAAGGGCCAATGTTTAGGGTGCTCACTAAAGGTGGCTAGTAATTGGTTACATTTACTCACCCTTTATGGAGTCATTTTACTGCATTCTTTTTACTGTTACTTTAATAATGTTATGAATAAAATTTGGCACTATTCCATCCAATTAGTAAACCAACTAAATGGTTAACAACCTGATTGATTTTATTAGTATTCTTTATTTTACCCAAGGTTGCATTCTGCTGGGCCTTCTGCGACATTTGGAGGTGAATCCAATAAACATCAGAAGACTCACTGAGATGCTTTACTGTTCTAACATGTAGACGTCACCTACTGGAAGAACTGTTTCCTTCTAAATTTGCTTTTTATATTTTATTGATTTTTATTTGTCTTTAAAATACCAAACTATGCACACAACTTTCTATCTGGCCTGTATTATAGCATGGAGTTCAGTAGAGCCTCATGTATTCCTAGTTGATTTGTCTCCATGATGAGGCCACAGAGCGTGAGCTCCTCCACTTGGCTGCTGCTGTACCTGGTTTCAGTAGAAAGCTACCTCTGCAGGAATGCTGTCAGCGCTCTGACTTCTATTTTCAGCCTGTCTTGTTAAAGTGCTTTTTGCTTTTAGCCTTAGTGCTGCAGCTCAGTTCAAGGTTGTCAGCATCTTCTAGCTCAGGCCACTTTATTTAAAATACGGTATTTTTTTTTCTTTTGCAAAGGGTATAAGAAAACATTTTAATTTTTTTGAGATACTTAAGCTCCTCTCCACCAGACAGTGAACATTCATACTCTGCTAAATCCAAACTTTAGGTGAAATGGCAAAAAAAAAAAAGTCAAAACCTGGACCAAAGTTTTGTGTAGCTTTAAATTTATTGCTTGCATATACAATGAGGAATGAATACATTTTCCAAAACATCAACACGACAAAGACGCACAAGTATCTGGATATGGACACTACCTTGGCAGCTCATGTTAATAAACTTGTTGGACACACCTATGTTTAAGGTGAGGGAAATAAATTCCCTGCTGCTGCAGAGAACAGTTATTCTGTTGCTTTTTGACAGTGTTAAGGCACCGCTCACAAACCACAGTAAAGCAGCTTCAGAGGTGGGGTGAGGTGAAAAAAAAACATTTCCGTTCACAGCAGACGCTGCAAGAGGAAACCTGTGAAAGAAACCTCAAGCTCAACAAACTGACAGTGAGAATCCAAAATGCTTCAGTCCTTCCGTGGCAATGGGAAAATAAAAAAAGAAGGTGGGTGAGTCATTAAAAAAACAGGAAGCTTGTGAGTGTGTGTAATGCAAAGGAAACTTGATTAAAAGGTGGCCATTGCACTTAGCTGGTGTAAAAATAGCTGTTTATATATTGCTCACATCAAAAAAAATAAAAGAAACATCTGATAGATGCAGGATGTTATAGATGATTTCTGCAGATGTCCTTCAGGCTTTGCGCTGTCTTACTGAAGCATTTTCCTCTGCTGCATTATCTTCACCCTGGGATCTGAGGCAAGACAATAATTATTATTAAAAAAGACATAAAAAAAAAACAAATATGTGAAGAATATTTTATGGAACTCACTGTGTGTTCTTTGGATCAGAATTAGGGCCATTAGCTGCAAGAAAATTGTTTTAAATTATTCCCCATAAAACAGCCAGTAGATAAATGTTACTGATGATTAAATACGTCCATTAAATGGATAAATACTTAACAAAATGAACATTAAAAAATGTTTAATGTAAAGATGTGTAAAAAGCATCAAGGTACATCTATATTACCGTATTTGTGTCACTTATTGTCACACAAAAAGGTTTAGTAAATCCTCTTTTAAATTTGAGTATTTTAATTTAGTGCAGGTAAAAAAAAAAGTTGCTGTATTTATTTTTTCAAATTCGTCATTGCCCGTTTGTTTTTTGAAGCCTTGTTGTCTTGAGAAACTTTTCTGAAGTATTAGCATTTTTGGAGAGCACATCTGGTTTTTATCTGGAATATCTTGGTATAAGAGTCTTTGATGCCATTAATGTGGGCAGAGTCTAAATGTTCTTGGAAAGAGATTCAATCCCACAGCATCACAGATCATCCTCTGTATATTACAGTGGGCATGAGGTGATTTTCAACACATTCTTCCTTGTTCCATCCAAAGCAAACGTCATTCAAGTGTTTAGATGTGATCCCATCTAACCAAAGCAGAACTCAAAGTATTGGTAGACTGCATGATTTACTAACTTGTATTTCCATCTGTGGATATACGTTTAAGCAATCAAATGCCAGCCAACCCTTTACAGATGCATTGGAAAAAGAGTAAAGAGGAACACACTTACATACCTTCTGTTTCCTTTTTCTTAGCATGACTCCTCTCATAGATGAGAATTGCAGCGACCAGGATGACAACTTCAACCAAGATGCTTAGGAACGGCTTCAATGGTTCCATGATAGTGATTACCTTCAGTAGAAAAGCATCATGGGATTATGTGTTTTAGAGTCTTTGCTATACTACATTTTCCACAGTTATTTCAAAGATGCTTCAGATAATATGGAATCTGAAATTAAAGTGGAAGTTAAAACATTAAATCATAACTACAAGCTGGGATCAATGTGACATAATTTCCACCAATTGCTTATATTTGTTATCATTTATTTTATTAGCAATATTCCCGAATTAGAATATTGGAGTCTTAGATGCTCTTATTTTTTTTATAAGGTGGGAAGGTTTGGAAACCAGACCCATACCGAAGCCAACTTGCTTGAAATAATACTAGGACAATTTGTCATGGTTTTCTTAATTAAAATGAGCATAACAGATATATGAATTTGAAAAAGTTTGTGGGTGGGGGGTGGACAATTTGCAATCATGGACGGTACCATGAAATAATTTTTATAACTAAACACTAATTTTATTCAAAAAAACATTTAACAAATTAATTTCAGGCTTGTCGAAATAACAGGAAAAAACATTTGTCAATTAAAAATATTGTTCAATTTTAACAGTTATCTAAAATATATGCTTAAATCAGCCCAGAAATTGGGTCATTATTGGGTTATTTCGTTTTTTAAATTTTATTTTGTTGTCAGTTCTGAGGTACCGGTATTAGGAAAAATGTTAGCAGTTCTTGGGGAAAAAAAGTTGTCAGGAAAAAGGTTTTCTGTTCTCAGCTTTCAGAAAACATTGGAGTTTTTTTGTTAATTTAGTGAAATTTGTACCAATTAAGCAAATTTTTGAGTTTAACAAAGTGACATTCTCGTCTAAAAACAACTTCAGTATTTATTTGGGGTCTTATAAAACAAAATATATAGATTTTCTAACTACAAATTTTGAAATCGTCGTCCATTTCTCTCTGAGCTGACCAATTAATGTTGGCCCGCAATAACTTATGGGGAATGGAGGATCACGTAGGATACTTTGCTCTGGACCAAACATGCCAGCATGTTTAAAAAAAAGAGCTCCAACATTTCCTAACACCTGAGAACTGACAACATTTTTCCTAAGGACTAAGAACCTGTCAGATAATCAGAAAATAAGAAAATTGTGAGATTATCTTATCAAAATACACACATATATATATATATATATATATATATATATATATATATATATATATTTGTAAAATTTTACAATTTCCTGTTATCAGAAGAAGTCTAAATGTATTTTCTCTTAATACTTAAGTTTACTGTTTGTTAAGGTCCAGTTTAGTGCAGATTATGCAGTTTTCAATCGGTATCGAAATTCTCTGCTGCGACGGACATTTCTGGAGATGTGAAAAAAAATGATGAATTTGAAATGCAGTGATACAGGGAAAAAAATGTCTATAGACATGTTTTCTACCTGTTTTTTTATTATTATTATTCAAGTTTATGTAGAATTTCTGCAGTCATTTGTGCTCAAACTCTTACCAATGTAATAAGCAGCAAGATTACTTTGCTGAAAGGTGAAGTGGTTGAAAAACAATGAAAACTTTTTTTTTTTTTAAACAAAGTAACTCCATCAAATACAGCTCAGTGTTTCTGATGCTGACCTTCAGCTCCACGCTGCTCATGCTGGTGCTGATGTTATACACGGCGCCGCAGTAGTACAGGCCGGAGTCGGCTTCGCTCACATTCTTCACCTTCAGCTTGGTCTTCCAGTTGTCATTGCTGATGAGGTAGCGGTGAGGCTCTGTGGCCTCAGATATCTCCTCCTGCAGGACAAAAGCACACAACATTAGTTATAGCAGTTTTTTATCTTTGAATTCAGGTCAGTGTCATTAAAAACAACTTATATAAGATTAAAATCCCTTAAACTAAACATGTATTTTCAACAGGAAAAACAAAAACAATATCTTTAATATTCATCAGTCGTTTAATGCTTGCTGGTATCAAGTCTTACCAGTTACAGTAACATAATGGGCTATTTGGTCCTATATAAATAGACAGTAAAAGGGTTAATTGTTTAAGAAGACAGTATAGAAATAATAGGTTATTGCTGTGAGAAATATCAAATCTTACTGGGAAAAACATTTGAGAAAAACTGAAACTGTTTGTCTAAACTCTACTCAGCTATAGAGGAAAGTTGACTTTAAAGCAGAGTAAAACCTTACATTTTCCAGTTTTTTCCCTTAAAGCATTACCACTAACCTGTGAGGCCTTCCTCACCTTATGAGTCCCGTTGTTCTTATACCAGTTCCAAGTGTTTGGTTTAGGTTTGGTTTCCTCCATCTTACATGTCAGCACCACAAAGTCACCCACATAGGAGACAACCGGCTTATCTCTCTTTTCTCCGACCTGAGGAGCTGTGAGACAGACCAGAGACAGTGCTGTCATTCATATCTGCAAACCTGCAGCAGCAATCTGATTGGAGCAGAGCTCTGAGCAGGTGCAGGCGGCATGTTTAATGTGCATCAAGCAGGAGGAATCTGTACCTGAGAGAATAAACTCTAGCTCTGCTTCATTTCCAAACACACACGTGTAATTTCCAAGGCTTTCCTGATTTACAATGCTGAACCTGAAAGATAGAGAGAGATGGATGAGACAACAAAAAAGCAAAATAAACGCTGATCTCATTTCATAATTTTCTCCAAAATATGACTGATTTGAAGTGATGATATTCTAAGACATTTCTTAAAACTTTAATGTGGAGATAATAGCAAAAAGAATAAACTAAGTCTATACTGGACCCCATATGATGAGATCAAAAAGGTAACAATAGGGTTGACCATTGATCAAGTAATCAAAAGCAGAGCTGCCATCAAAAAGGAAATGGACCTATATCAAATTATAATATATGAACTGTATTGTTTTAACCATATATTTTTGACATTTTTACAAAATAAAGTCACATTATTACATTTCACATTAATAAAATATGACATTTATATTGTATGAACCAAATCATTTACTGTGTAAAGGTCAAAAATATGTTAGGGCAATGCTTTCTACAGTTTCCTTTTCAGAAATGCTATGAGTTGCTCCATCTATACATCTTCAAAAGGAGAAGTCCATGTGCTGCAGTCATTTAGGGTCATTTCTGAAAAGTTTTGTCTTTGCTCAAACCTGTATGGGTTCAGATATTACAGCAGTTAAAGTGGTGAAGTTTTTATAATGACTCATCAGAATCTCTCTACCATTAGGTCTCTGTGCAGATATATCTTATCCATTTCAAATCAAAATATGAAATTACTTCTTTTTTTAAAGGTATTCTGATTTAAAATCGACTGCAGGATCAACTTGTTATATTTAATTGCAGTAAATGGTTTTCCTTGTGTGTGTGTTTTTTCTGTGAATTTTCTTTAAAATTAATTTTCTCCACACCTGCTTAGTAGGGGTGTGGAAAAAAATAGTTTTGGTGATATATTGTGATTTTCGGATGCCCGATATAATATTGACCTTTCAGTTCCTTGTATCGATTTTTAAAAAACTACAAATTTTTACCTAGAACAATGAGGGAAATCTCTGCACTACCACTCTGGCAGATAGCCCTAGCCCTTTTACTGTGCGGTGCAGAGCCATATCTGTAGTTGAGGCTGCCCAGTGGATGCACAATGGATACCAAAATAACTACATCCTCAATATCTTCTGATGAACTTATACAGCACTTGCTTTTTTATCTATATATTTAATTTTGATAGTAGGGAAAAATATCGCAATATATAATGATATAGTAATATCATGATAATATAGCATAGCGACCCAGGTATCGTGACACATATCGTATTGCAACCCCCATGCAAATACTCAATCCTACTACTTAGTGTCAGTCACTTCCTTTAAGCAAAATTCCTTGGTTCCAATTTCAAGGTTAGGGACCCCTTACATAATAAATCTTGCTTCTGATAAACTTCCTGGCCTCTTTAAGGTACGGTTTGAGCTGAGATTACAACAGTGGCTTAAAACCACACAAAATGAGCAGGTGTGAATACAACAGATGTGAAGCTGGATTCAGACCAAAGTAAGGCACCCTGTTCTTTATTCTTTTTGGTTAATTCTGATGATGAAAGCAGGTGACTGTTCGGATCTTGCTACCTTTTTTCCCTAATCTCATAGGTTAAAGGTATGTTTTAGCACTGGGTAACAAAAGCTATGTTTTAGGCTGAGATAGACCAGAAAATTACACTTTCAAAAACACATCTCTTTTTATCAGTTGGGATAATAATTTGACTTTTATTCTCTGTTAATTAAAGTAATTATAGATTAGAAATAGTGCAGTATTTTTGCATTGTTGTTTATTTTGCTAAAGATAAAAGAAGGAAGATATTAAATAGATTATGCTGTGGTTAACAATAAATTCAAATCCCAATCACAAAAAACACTGGTTTTATTTGTGTTTACTGAACTTTTTAATTTTATTAATTTAAAAGAAAAGCAGAAAAAAGTACATTCCAGCACAGTTTGAATGAAGAGAAACAGAGTGAAGAATAAGTTTTATTTTTTCTTCCTCTTTTTGCAAAAGAAAAATAAAAACATAATTTATCATAATTCAAATGAAGTGTGGTAACTTCATTTAACTTAAATATATTTAATGTTAAACATTGTCACAAACCATTAAATCATTCCATAGTTACTAAGAACACATAATACAATTTTTTAAATATTTTAAGTTACCTTGATTCTTTAATTTCCTTGTTGAGGTTGTTCCATAATTGTGCACCATTTACAGAGATACTCTGTTCTTTTATCTCAATCTTTTATCCACACTGTCCACACAGTACTTTTGTACTTATTGAACATTAAAAATATTAAATAAATAAAAATATCCCTGAGGCTAAATCATGACACAGAATTAAATCCATTTTGATTGATGAGACATTTTCTCTGTCACTGATCTGTACTATTATCAACTTTATAATGTTTTTAGGTAAGTATGCATTACTTTGAAACTCAGTTTTAACTTTAAACGTTTTTTTTTTTATCAAAAAAGATCATTTTCATTCTTGTAGTCTACAGTCTGATCTGTATATTGTAAGAATCTTGGGTGTTTTTAGTTGCACCGTGATGACCATATTATCAAAAATATGTGATATAATAGTGTTGACAAATGACTCATATAATAGTGTATTGATGGAACAATAAAGTGATGTAGCTTGCTCTATGGATGCTCTATGCAGCTTACGTTTGCTTGAGTTTGTACTGCTGGTTCTCCAGGTTCACTGTGACTCGGCTGTCCTGAATTTCCACCCCATCTTTCCTCCAGTAACCGGTGATGTTGAGCTGTTTCTTCTGGTTTCCAGTCCAGATACACTCCAGAGACAGATTGACAGGATTCTGCAGTTCAACTCTCTCAGCTTTATTCTCACCTAAGTGGCACCAAGGGGGAAATATATGATTGGAATATAAAATATAGTGATTATCATTAAAAGATAATTAAAATCATTATGAGATGTTAACCTTTGAGGACAACGCTCCTGGTGTCCATTTGCAGGGGGTTGATGGGAACCAGTGGCGGTGTTGTTGGACCTACAGTTTCTGTTGGTAGAATCAATCAGGTTATAGAACTACGTCAATCAGCTTCAACTATATTCAGTGACATAAAACCTGACTGAAGGAAAATGGTTGCTTTAATTAGGTGTGTTTATTTATATGTTTCTGTTGTAAATAGGTTCAAGATCCCTTTATCTAATATGCTGACTTCTAGAAAACCTGGGGTCATTACAGGATCAGTGGAAGCAGTCTGCTTTTCCACATGCTGTATGTCTAAAGTAGAGTGGCCTTTATTAGCAAAGTACACAGGCAGGAAATGCATGATATTCCTAATAGCTGAGCCACATTTTATGGGGATAGGGGAGCTCTATTTCCCTTCCCTTTAGGTGGCAAAGCGGACCACCCTGTTGAGTTTTCCCCTGTTTAAAGGCTTTTTCTTTTGGGATTGTTCCCTCCTTTCTATCCCCCTCCATATTCCCTGTTTGGCTTATTTGTGTTTTGGTTTGTTTTTCTTTTTTGGTTCTTAGAGCCCAGGAGGGAATCTGGAATCCGCCCTTAGTGGCGGTTCTATCATGATTTTGGCGCTGATGGCTGGCTTGATTGCCCATTTCATTAACCTGTCTAACGTTGCCCTGTTTCTCTCCACTGCTCATCTGATCCACCTGCTCCTACTTCAACTTAAACTCCTTGGTCCGAGCCATCAGTGCCAGATTATTCTTAAGCCTTTGCTGTTGAGAGTTCACTAGAGTTTTTATAGTGTTCTGATTTCCTGATGTGTTTCTGTATTTGGACCTTTAAGCCTGCCTTCCCCTGTATGATCAATTTGTCTGGCCTGTCTTCGGACTCCTGATGGATTCTTCTGTGGACTGAACCTGGATCTGCCTCTTGACTTTGCCCTGTGGATTATCCTGACTTCCTCCTTTCAGCTCGGCAGTCTTCTAGGCTTCAGCGTCTGGAACTCTATAGCAGCGTCCGATGGAATCGTCCTCCTTCTTTTGACACGGACTGAACTTTCAAACCAGGTTAGTGTCTCATGCACTCATAATCATCCTCTGTCAGATTATTGTGGTCAGTAACGTGTGTTTCTCTCTTATAGATGTTCTTGCTATAGATGCCCTAGCCGCTGATACCGTGGACCCACAGCCTGCTTGTCTAAATAAATGATTTTTAAGTTATTCTACTGTCTGTTTTGTCTGAATTCTGGGTCCTTCTGTTCTGAGTTGGTGCAACATGTTACTATCTTGAAGCTGAAAAACAAAGGTGTCCTCTCTATAATTTGCTTGGTAGCACCTTCCAAATAATAATATATATATCATTTTTTTAAATTAAATTGTACTGGTAATTTCTGCCATTGTTAACGAAGTGTATGGGAAAACTCATCATAATTGTACTTCAGTGTTATTTTCCATAGGTGCTGGAATATAGATTTTTTTTGTGTGTGTCTGTTTGCACCATTTCTTATTTTTATTGACTTTACTTAAGGTATTTTAATGTTGGTTAGTTCATTCCGTTGATTCTGCTTTGGTTTTGCCCCTTTTTGTAAGTTTTTTTTTTTTTTCTTTTTAACACTGGTCATTTTTTTATTTTCTTCCCAGTTGTTTCCCTTGTGTTTCACTTTAGTTCCATTCATTTTTACACCATCCTGAGCTCCCCTGCTGTCATTCTGCAACAGCTGCTCTAAATTACCTCTTATCAGCCCATCTGGTTCCTTTGTCATCATCCACCCCTGTCTCACTGTTCACTACTGGATTCTTCCATTTAGCAGTCTCATGCTCCTGTTCAGGTTAAATCCTCACTACCTGTACACTAAGCTTTTTTGCTAAATAACAGTTGCTACTATATCTGCATTTTGATCCTTTTCTAACAAAAAAACAATTCATTTACAGCATTTAGCATTGCTGTCACTTTTCTGCATTGTTCTCATCCTGATACATTTATTTAAGCTGTGTTCTGAATTGAGACTTCACCATTAATTTATCTTTAATTTGTCATATATCTGCTGCTGTGTTTAAACTCATTGTTGTACATTTACTCTGTTTCAACCAAGCGACAGGGGTTTGGGTTTATAGCCTGCAAGGGTGGCAAAGCCAAGAAGCCAAAATCATGGAAATATCCTCATGTTGGTGCTCTTGTGGATTAATCCAATCTGACTTTGCTAAACTGACTTCAAATATCCTACAGTGTTTTCTTCTTGAAGGATTAGCAAAGGGTTCCCTCTTATAATTTCTTAACTGTAAGGTTTAGATCATTTGTACTTAGTTTTCCACATCTGGCTTTTCCATTCCAGATGAATTTCTGTTCAAAGAATGAAAAAAGTTATGAAAACAATTTAAGAATTTTCTTTATCTTTAGCAAAATAAACAATTTTTGTTCATTTTATTTTCTTATATGTAAATTCATAGAATTGAAATGTTCTTTTATTTAATCTTCCGTAACTGTAGAGACTCGGTGTCAGGAAACCACATGTTGACCTCGAAGTCCAAACATTTTACTGGTGCAAGCGGAGAGATTTATGTAACAAGTAAAACATTATTTTCAACATCACTGCAGGTTGAGCCACAGGTGGGCGTATATTTCTGGTTATTAAATCTCCTCCCCATGGGCCAACAAATTAGGTCAAATTTATAGTCTTTATGTATAGTATAAGGCCTCAACATTTCGGGACATTGACACATTTTCTGTTGCAAATGCACAAAAGCAAGGATTTTTCAGTAACACCTGACCTAAAGCTTTATTCTAGTGTAGCAAGGTCAAAAATAACAACTCTGTAACTACTTGATTTGCTGAAGGAAGGTTGTGAGTTACTAGCAACCTGTCCATGGTGTATCCAGCCTTGAGACTTTTATCAAATTAGACATTTAAATCAATCATTTTATCAAACATTTGTTATCTAGGAAGCTGTCGGTGTGAACATGCACTTTAGCATGGATAAGAAATTGGAGAGATTTTTTATTGTTTTTTTTGCAGTTTTGTCATGCTTTAGGGTTTCCAGTATTCAAACTAATTTTATTGTTAGACAAAAAAAAACCTGAGTAAATACGGAAGGCAGTTTTAAAAGGATGATTTAATTCAGTAGAGCAAAACACAACCCAGAGCTACACTGTGGAGTAGTTTGGATGAGAATGAGCAGCCACTATGGGTTGCATCCCATTATCTCTATCAGATTTAGGTCTATTCTCAGACTTGGCCAATCCAAAACCTTTATTTATTCATCTTTAGTTATGTTAGGGTGGACTTGCAGGTGGGCTTTAGATTAGAATCTCTCACGCTTATCAGTTTTTGAACCACAAAATGGTGGTCATTGATGACTCAACTGCATTGGTTCAACACTTTGAAATTCTTACTTTTTTTACTCATAAAAACATACTTTATGATATGAGTTAATTAAGATAAAGAAAAATATAGCAGATTCAATCCATTTTTAAATTTCAATAATTCCAGCTGTGGTTCAAATATTGTAAGTGGTACAATGGACAGACCTTCCAAAACTAAAACTTTGATGATAAACCTTATAACACTGCATACTGCCAGTTATAAATGGATAAAAAGGTATTGGCCTTCCAGATTGATTTATGTCAGTTATTTAATTCTATTGCTTTTAAACCTTCATATGGAACATCCATTGCAGAACAAAACCAAATACAAAAGCTTTGACAATTTAATTACCACAGATTTGTATTAAGTGTTAGGGTATTTTTAGTGAATCTCAGTGTAAGGGGCTGAGTCAGAAGGCATGAGGAGTCACAGGTTTTATTAGAAAAGCATCTTTTTTATTTCAACCCTGAAGAAGTTACATTAAAAAAACAACACTGAGCTCATAAAAGAGGTAAAAGAAACAGAATTAAACCAGGCAACAATGTAAACTACCCAACTGAGCGCTCAAACAACACATAACTGAGGTCCATACCATGAAGCTCAACCTAGCAGTATTACTTCCAGCCTATCCAGTTTAACCAATCCACAACAATGGTGATCCCAATTGGCGGTACCACAACGTTGTCTATCAACTCGCCGACTCATTTCGGTTTGAACTGATCATGAATCTGTAAACACGCACGTATAAAGGGGCGGGTTCAAGGTAACAGACCAATCACAATAATTAGCGCAGAAGGGAGAGTGGCGTGCTTCTCCTGTGAGGAAGAAAAACTCATCTTACAGAAATAGTAGTTTCACTGAAAAGTCAAACACAGTGGCTGCATCGAAGAGACGCCAAATGGAGGGCCATTGCTGACTGTGCAAATGCACAAGTTACAGAGAGACTGCATCCCAATTACTGTAATGGATAATAATCTCGTTTCCCTCTGGAGTGAATAGGATGTTGGTAGTTGATAAAAATAAAACACTAAAACATAATTTATTTTGATTAGTCTAAGCTGGAAGCTGATGCCATAACTTTCGGTATCATATTAATACAAGAAGTGATAAGTCAGAATGAAATCCTCCATATAGCGGGTGAAAAAAGTATTGAATACACCACCATTTTTCTCAGTGAATATATTCCTAGAGATGCTATTGACATTCCATTTTCACCAAATGTCTGTAACAATCCATGCAATTCACACATACAAACCATGGATGTCTAGAGATTAAGTTATGTGTAATAATGTAAAATGACAGAGGGAATGAGTATTGAACACATCTACTGAAATGTATTTATACTTTACATAAAAGCCTTTGTTGGCAATGACAGCTTGAAGATGCCTCCTGTCAGGAGAAATTAATGGCATTCATTGCTCAGGTGTGATTTTGGCCCATTCTTCCACACAGTCATCAAATCTTGAAGGTTTTGTGGGCCTCTTCTATGAACTCTGATCTTTAGTTCTTTCCATATACCCTCTGTTGGATTCAAGTTAGGTGATATCCTGGAATATTCCAGCAGCTTTATTTTCTTTCTCTGAAATCAATAGAGAGCTTCCTTGGCTGTGCTTGGGGTGGTTGTCTTGGTGAAATGTCCAACCACGTTTCATCTTCATCATCCTTATAGATGGCAGCAGATTTTTATCAAGAATGTCACTGTACAATTTTCCAATCAATCCTCCTTCAATTATATGACGTTTGCCATATGCTGAAAAACAGCCCCACGCCATGATGTCCCCCCTCCAAATTCACTGTTAGTATGATGTTTTTGGTTCTTGGACAAGTACTCTAGTAGTTCTTTTCACTTCTCCGTGAGAAATCTTGCAAGGAGCACTTGGTCGTGGTCAGTTTATGGTGAAATTATGTTCTTTCCACTTCCAGATTATGGCCCCAATAGTGCTCAGTGGAACATTCAAAAGTTCTGTAACCAATGTAATCATTAATGTTGGGAAGGTCTTTGCTTTTACCCACAATGAGCTGGTTCTTGTGTGATATCAGAGACAGCTTTTATTAGGCCATCATTTGGGACTGAACCAGCTGATATTCAACTGATATTGTTTTGTTTTTACTACGTATGTTATTTTATTGTAATGTCTCGTTCTAACTATATGCTGTTTTTATTGTACGGTTTTGTTTTAACTATGAATTTTGTAGCACTTTGAGATTTTGTTGAAATGTAAAGTGCAATACAAATAAAATGTATTATTATTATTATTATTATTATAATAATAATAATAATTATTATTATTATTATTATTATTCATTTGCAGGATTTCCAGTAGGTGGTGCAGTCCAATTTGTGCATGTGCAGGTGTGCTAAACCCCTGGCTGCCAACTTGGTCATGGGAAATATCCCATAGATCATGGAAAGCTCAGAAAAAAAATTTGGTTTTGATCAAACCAAAGCGAGAATTGACAGGATAAAATACAGAAATGAACTAAATATGCACACTTGAGAATAGAACAAATATAATTAAATCAATCAAAATTGTTGCAAATCAAGATGATGCATTGCGAATGGATGGATGAATAAATAAATGTAAGTGCATAAAAATTAGACTCTTTCAGGTGCGGCCATGTTTTTGAAGTTAAATAAAGAACAAACCTTTATGAAACAAATAAAAGTCAAACATTCCTTCAACCTTGTCCAACTTCAGGACTAAAGTATTGGTCAAGTGCTCCCCTTCAGTCCGCAAAGCCTGCCTTCACATTGAAGGACTGTCTTAACAATCCCTTGGTAGACTGTATCATAAATTTCAATGAATATTGAAGTTTATCCAAGTTTAAGTGTTTGCAATGTGCTAGCAAAAGATGTAACAAAATGGATGCAGTCAGATAAAATTTAATGAAGCAGTGTTAATAAATAGAACTCCTTAAAACACTTTATCAGTTTCAACGGACTTAATCAAAGCTTTGAGAGCACAGCAGAGGATGAACAAAATGGCACCATCATCAAACAGTATTCAGGTCTAAAACTAAAGAATTGGGGGGAGGGGTGCCCATTTCCTACCAGAAGAGTAAATCTACCACTGATCCACTCATCTATTGGAAATAACTCTAACATTGGATACAATTAACACTCATAAGACACCCATAAAATAACACCTAAGGAGTAAAAAAGTCAACTCGGAAATGTTTACATCTGAAAATTGAACACTGAATTGCAGTCTATTACCTGTTTGCTGAATAGGTGACGGACCATAGCAAAAATATCTTTAAACATATTGAAAGAAGACCAATAAAAATGGCCAGTAGAAAAAAAATCAGCTTTCGTTTAAAGGTCGCATTTTTCTGTTTCCTCAGTCCATTTTTGTCTAATGTAATATTTAGTTTGATGATAAAAAAGCAAAAGTAAATAAATTTTAAAAAGTGGTGATTCCTTTTTCACAGCACCATATAACCCAACTAAATCTAACCATTTAAATCGTAAAAGTTTAAATATGTACTTTTTCTTACTTCTTAGTGTTTCAATGTATACATTGTCTACATTTGTTGAAAATAAATATTTGATTTTGGTTTTAGCTGAGTGTTTTGGCATCCTACTGTAGTATTTAACCTCTCTTAGATGACAATAACAGTTTTTTTAAGACAGGGGGAAAAAAAGGATGTCAATCTTAAACATATTTATATTAAAATTTAGCTACAGTTTCCTCCCAAGGTTACAGGAACATTCAGTGACAAACTGAAGAAGAGCAGCAGAGTTTTATCACAACCATAAGAAACAGTGAGATTAAAACCAAAATGTAATTTACTTGAGCTGATGTGTCTGCAGGATGCCATAATCAGGAGGATTTGGATGGGGAGCTGCTTCAATGAGGCTGTCATGGTTGCTGTTCCTCTGTCCTCTATGTGAGAAGGTCTTTCCGTCTGTGCGCTAGCTGCATCGTCTCACTTCTCCTCCCGCCCTTCCTCCTTCCACTGAACAGTGACGCAGCAGTGAGATCACCCTGCATCCTCTGTGGGAGAACACTCCATCCATTATTCAGTCAGACAGGCTACATTGATGCTGCGCTGCACTGCGTTATATCCTGCTGCATTGGTTGTAACAAAAAAAGGCAATTCTGACTTTGGTCAATTCAGTAGGAATGCATGTGCATGTGGACAAAACTGTTACATTAGTCTGTTGCTATTTTTTGCTGGAGTCCTTTTCTGTGAGGTGCTCTGTGGTGTTATCTGAGAGGATCTGGCAGGCAGAAGTAACATGAGCGACCTCCCTTTGTGAGCAGGACAAGAAGAGGGAACTGTTCTCTATTATAAAAGAAAACTAAATAAATCATGTTTATATAAAGAAAATTAGTATTTTAGGCTATAAGAAGATAATTTGGTGGTATATTATTAAGAAAACTCATTTGAACCACATATTGCATTTGTATGTCTATCTTTTTTGATGAAAACCACACATTCCTCTGCACATAATACAGGTAAATGAGTCTAATGTAAGGAAAGAGCACAAGAGCACAGTATTTTATGTCGGTGGTCAATAAAACAGTAATTACAGAGTATTTTAGACACCTGAGTGAAAACTGCATTGACTTAGTTGTATTAAATCAAGATGTACGTTAGATGTTGTAGTGAAAATAATTAGGTCTGAAAGGAAAGATAAATTAAGTTTGTTTGGGCTGGCTCTTGAAGCCCAGACTGAAGCCCAGCTATGTCCAATGTTCATCTTTGATATAAAAAATGCTGCATAAATACTCAATAACCTAAAACTTTAAATTCCCCTAAATTTAGTTATCCACAGATGTCCTTATTTCTTAACCATGCTTGAAATAAGGGAAACAAGAAATAAAATACCTTTAATTTAAAGAAGTGGGGTTCAATCTGGAAACGGCTTCGAAAAATGTGATTTTAATAATGAAATCCGATCATAAAAATGCTAACAGAACTAGAAATACTGTAAAGTTAACAAAAATTGCTAATAGTTAAAAGTTCTGGCTGAGATTTTAGTATCAATAGCAACAATTTCTGTTCAGCATTTCACATCCTCACCAAGCACACCACAAATTGTGAAGTAGGCTGTATCAAAATATAGAAAAATAAACATTTGCTTATACTTCAGTGTGTGAGCTTTCCTTATATTCATATTGCAGATCCTTAATTAATTCATGGAAATAAATATATACATAGCTGAACAACAATACAGCAATTGTTTTCTCAGAATGGTTTGTTTGCTCAAAATGTATTTTTCATGGATTTTATCTTAGTATTCCCTCAGGGGGAAAAAGGCTTACATTTATTACATAGCATTTCTATATATTTTTTTATTTATATTATTTTTAATTTATTCTATATATTGTTTTATTTTGTGTGCAATAAGATACAAGCACATTTTTTAAGTTACTTGATGTATATAAAACCAGGGAAGGTCCAGGGAAGAGGTAAATAGAGCAAGCAAAAAGAAAATTACATTTCAAAAGGATTTGAAATGGAAGTTGAAAAAGAAAATGGAATAAGGTATTATCTTTTTAAATGTGTGATTAGGAAACTTAATTCAGAGATAGGATTTGAAAATACAATTATAAATCCCAGCATTTAATAATGGATTAATAAATTCAGTTTACAATTCCTCTTTAATAATTTAATTTAAAATGTGTAATACGAAAATACATTTTAAATTGGATTTCGGATTGCAATTTTTAAATGGCTTCTTCTTTAGGTCCTATATATACTGTATTACCAGAGTATTTTTTCTTTTTATCTAAAATTAATTAAAATAGTATACTAGAGCCGGGAGTTTGACTTTTTTTTTTACTGCTAGCACCTAGACTGTTTAGAAATAAAGATTATTTTGCAAATCAAAATATAGTTTTTTTTTTTATTAAAGCAGCAGAGTGGATTGTCCCTTTGGCTGATCCAACCTAAAACCAGTTCTGGTACTAAACTGGTTGCAATCTGGTCATTTTCCAGTTGATGGTCAGTGTCCTTTATTTCAGAAAATTAGCTTAAAAGACCTAACTTATATATATCTTTATGACACTCACTCATACCAACACATTTAGACTGGGTGTAACAGAAGCCCGAACTGCTCTAACAATATCTCAATGTGGTTTATGTGTCTCTCTACTCTTCAACAGACTCTGCAGCCTTGATTTCCTATTTAATTTGATCTGTAACCACTGAGCAGATTCAATGTATTGTCTGTGGCTCAGCAGTGTCATCAGAAGGTGACAGCTGTTACTCCCAGATGCGTGTATTTTCCAACCACTTAACTTTCAATTGAAAATGTAAAACCTTCAGTAATGCTTGATTAAGGAAATCTGTAAAAGTGGGGCTTTTCTTCCTCATTTGTGGTTGATCCTTCTTATGAAGGGTGTAAGAGCCTGTTTAAAAATGTTTATAATTATTTGATCCTTTTGAGCAAAACACAGGCAAAAATACATATTTTATTGCTTTTATGTGATAATTCAGTCTCAGAGAAAGCCATGCCATTTTACTAAAGTACATTTAAAAATAAAACCCTTAGGTACGTCTGAATAATATGGAAGACCAGCTCCACCATATTTAAAAATAAAAATGTATTTTTAAATATGTTAGCATTTATTTATGTATTTATTTTTAAACATGGTAGAGCTGTTCCTCCATAGAATAAGGCTTGCTAAAACAAATAATGCTTAGAAATTAAAGGGTATAAAAATGTCCTTTAAACAGCAGCAGAACTAAAGAAACTGAAGCCTGTGTTTCACTGGGGCTGAAGGTGCAGGCTGTTAATGAACACTGTTTGCAGCTCGTTGATATCCTCCGTCGTCTCTATGGGGATGCTGAGTTTACCAGGAGAGCTCAGGAGTCCATCAGACTCGTAGGATTGCTCAAAGCCACATTGGCCAAGTTGGCCGTGGCAGGAGAAGCCGCAGCCTCCCACGGCCCCCTGAGCTTGCTCGCTAATGTCAAGATAGCAATTCTGCGCAGAGAGGCGGTTGTAGTCCTGATGCAACCCCTGGTAGAGGTGATGGTGGCGCTCAGGGCCCGGGCTGTGACAGGGGCTCTGAGACGGGCTGTGGGGCATCATGCAGGTCTGCAGGCAGCTGTTCCGTCGCACGGCCTGGTGGAGGTCCAGTCGGGCGATCAGTGGCTTTCCGATGTTGATGCTTTTGGTCCAGCATATGGGAGGATCATCCTCCATGGCTGCAAAGGTGCCCTGAAGACACACGGTGAAAACCAGCTCCTCCTGTAGCAGGAAGGTTTAACAGAGAAACATTAGTTCAAACAGAATCAGTTAAGACTGACTGTGATTATGCAATGAGTACATTTCTGCACTGTGAGATCAATAAAGTGAATAAATCAATAAAAATAAAGGTAGTGTTATTTAGGGTTTCTGAAAGTGTTGATTGTTTTGAATAGTTAAAAAATAATTAAAACTTAAATTTTAGTTGAGGGGAAAAAGCGGTAATGCAAACCAAGCTCAGTGACATTCCACATGCATTAAGGTATGGACATCATGATCTTCAGTTTCCTTCACACAGAAACTCAGTATTTAGGACATGGATGGCTTTGTTATTTTACCAAACAAGTTACAGATAAAATCATTAAGATAAGTTTGAAACAGTCACAAATAATTCCCATCAGTCCTTTCTCTTAACTGACAATGAATTATTAAAATTGCTGATGAAGATTCCCAGTCATCCAGGTCATAGTCATTCCGTAAAAGTTTAAAAAACAATCCACTGGACTTGGTTTCCAAGATGTTTGAAGATGTTTCACTTCCCCTCCTGGAAGCGTTCTTAATTCAAAGCTGCCTTGCAGCAAGAAGGTTCTGGGTTTGATTCCCGGCCCGGGGTCTTTCTGCGTGGAGCTCCACG